GTAATGAAATTAAAAGAAGGGGGGACTTAAGAGTTCAAATGACCTAGCCTTTTGACATCCAAGACCCTATAAACATATTTTGCTTTAAGCAACTTCCAAACCCAACATATATAGCACAATAACAGTGAGAAGCCTTTGCCCAGAAGAAAACCCACTTAGCTGCAACTAGTTCATAAGGAAACATTGATCTTTCACCATCGTCAACTGGTTCATGAAGCTGTAGCTTTGTTTTTAAATCTATATACATAACCTAAAAGCGAAAGTTTTTTTTTTTAAAAAAAAGCAAAAGGTTGTACTGTTGATTGTTGTGCTTTTGCCAAATGGGATTTTTTTTATATAACCTAAATGAAATTTTATAATCTTATAATCTTTCCCTTTTCGTGCTTTTAACCATTACCATTACAAATTTGATTAATTAAAATGATGCCATTGAATAAAACAATAAAAAAACATTCATAGCATGTCATTTCTCCTTTACCATGGTGCCACTACTAACTATTTACAATAATGCCACTAAACTTCTATCTTTTTCATATTTGTTAAAAACCGCCTTTATCTCTCATTTTATTTACAATTGGGTTGTGTTGGGCCATATTTCCCTCCCTTGGGATACTTTAGGGGTTGGCCCAACATAGCCCTCGGCCCGAGCCTACGCAGGCCTACGTTGTGCTGTGGATCGGGCTGGTTCGCGAGCCAAGTCTTAGGCCAGGCCGGGCCACGAACCAAACTAATCCATGTTTTTTAAAAATTTTGAAAAAGAAATAATGAAAAGGTTAACATAAATTAAAAATTAAAAAAGATCTTAAAATTTTATTTTATATGAATTTTGATGTATACAATTGTTTATATATGCAATAATAAAATGAAATAATATAATAAAATTGAAAATAAATTTATGTATTAATATATTATATAATTATTGTATATAATATACGGCCTAAGCCCAAACTAGGCTGGTCCGCAAGCCAAGTCTTAGGCCAGGCCAAGCCATGAGCTGGGCTAAGCCATGTTTTTTTTTAAATTTTGAAAAAAAAATAATGAAAAATTTAACATAAATTTAAAAAATAGACAGAAATAAAGAAGATCAGAAAACTTTATTTTAGCTCGAGCCCGCATGGGCCCGTGACGAACTGGTCTACAGGCCAAGTCTTAGGCTAGGCCGGGCCACGAATTGGGCTAAGCCTATTCATGGGCTCGGTGGCCCAGTAGTTCAGCCCGACCCATTAACAATGCTAAATTAATTAATTAAATAATTTTAGATAGCTAGCCTTTACCAATCTTGCGTTGATAATACACAAGTTTTTTATTTACTTATTTTACTAAATTATTTAATTGGTTAATAATTTTATAATCTAACAAATTATTATTTCTAGCAAAGTAAGACAAAGAATCGTGTGTTTGTATATATATACATACTCTCACATGATTGTCTATTTATCTCATTTATTTTATAAATTTATTATTATTATTTAACTATTTACAATTATTCCACTATATAAAACAAAAAATACAATGACAAAAGTCATTTCTCCCTCTTTCTCTCTATTGCCCATGGACGTGATTGTTTATTTATTTATTTTATTAAATTAAATATATTATTATCCATTTTTTTATATTTATTTTAAATAGATCCTTTTTCCAATAAACTTTTAATTAAAAAATTTACCTTTCGCAATTTTTTTCCTATATAATAATTTACCTTTGACAAGCCACTTACAATCATGTTTTGCCCTGTAACGCAGGGGCTCCTCCGCTAGTAAGATTATAATACAAAGGAAATTGATTTATAGAACAGACTTACCTCTTTTACTAATTGGTTAAATAATCACTTAATTCCAGCATCCTCTACCCGCTCCATTTTTTTTTGAATCAGAAAGGTTGTCTCAATCAATCCACCAAGAAAGCCAAAGATTACTGAAGACAAAAAGAACCAAAAAACAAAATATGAACCTCCAATTAGTAAATCAAACAAAGTTGATTGTTAACTTATAATGACCTTTGCCGTTAAGAAATTGACGACGTTGAAAATGTTTTGGGCATCGAGGCATGTATCCCATGTTAAATTGTCATAGTTTTGTTGGTCTCTCATTTTCGTCCAAAAAAGAATTGGAGAACACTTAACATTGGGTCTATCACAAATGTCCAAAACATGCAGTGGTTTGTAACGAGTGTCCAAACCATACATTATTTTTTTTATTTTTATATGCGCACTCTTTCTTACTGTCTATATACTTGATATAACTTCAGATTTGAAGGATAAAATTGGTAACAAAATCAAGGTGTTTGACGAAAACGAGAATGACCGTTCTCATTTTTATTAATGGTCATAGATTTAAATATTAATTTTTATCAATAAAATTATATTTAAAATAATATTTTTTTTTATTTTTTTAATATTTAAAATAATATTTTTTAATTATTTAAAAATACAATTATTGTTTACATATTGATGCTTTTTTCAAATTATTTATCATATAAAATGCAAAAATTAGACATTTGTGATCGACTGTGTAGATATCCCATAAAATATATATGAGATACATGGAATCAAAAAGTGTGGTGTGTCCACACCACACCTACAGAGCGTCACCGTGGGTGTGGACTGTTTCGGTCCACACAATCTATCCACAGTTTAGAACAGTTGTGGACTATGGTGTGGTGTGGATTGGTCCCTACCACAAGGTGTGGTGTGGATCAGTCCACACCCACCAATTTCTCATCCACACTATAGAACACCCCCTATATGTATGCCATCAGCGATGGCCTGATCCATTACGGTTAAAATATCAGAATCAAAGCAACCAAGTTTTTAGCAGACCTTGTAACTAGCGATTCTTGCCTTTGTAGCCATGCCTCTGGCTTCCCTCACTGCGAACTTATAAAATTCTACATCTCCAACATCTCCTTTGAAAACTGTGGATGCCATGTCTGTTTGTGCCATGAATGGGCTAGATCAAGGTCTTCACGGAAGGTGAAGAGACGGGCCAGATCAAGGAAAGAGTTGAGGTGGCCCTGCGCTTAGGGGTGTCAACAGTATTCGAAAATCCAATTTCGAATTCGATATTCGACATAATCGAATCGAATTCGGATAATTTGAATATCTAATCAGTCGAATTCGGATAATTCGAATATCTAATCGGTCGAATTCGGATATCCTATTCTTACCGAATAGTTAATCGGATTCGAATTCAGATATGACTTGATTCGATTCGACAAATATCCGAATTCGATCGATTATTTAATTCTTATATATAATATATAAAATATCTTATATAATATATATATATATAATAATTAATTTATATAAATAATTTATATATTTATATACTTTATATTAATTAAATATTTATTTTATATATTTATTAATTATCTAAAATAATTAATTAATCAAATTCGAATCGAATCGAATATTCGAATATTTAATCGGATTCAAATTCGGATATTAATTTTTAATATCCGTCGAATATCGAATCGAATTCGGATATTTGATTCAAATTCAAATATTGCGTGATCTGATTCGAATTCGATCCGTTTACATCCCTGGTTGCGCTATGAATGGGAACAAGATGACGTTCTTCCCATTCATCTTCTGTGTTATGAGATGGTGGAAATGCCAATACTATTTGATCATTGAGCTGTTGAGAAGAAGTGGGAGCAAGGATTTAACACTAACTAAAGAAGATAAGAGTTTTATATCGATTTTTTCGATGAAAACTTTCCATCAAATCTCAATGTAGAGCGGAGTTTATGCTCATTTACGGTGTAAAACAACACCTCCGAGCAAAATAGAATCGGGCTACACCTCGGTTTTCATTTACACGGAAGACAAACGTAGCCTTAAAAATGGGATTATGGGCCTATCGGGATCCATACATCTAGACCTGTTTATGGGTCGGGCTCGAGCTGGGCTTTCACTCATCATTAACAGATTTTTTTTAAGGCCCGAACCCAAGCCCGACTCGACCATCGGGCCTACAACTTGGGCCCAAGCCTGTCCCTCATAAAAAGCTCGAAGTTCGGGCCTGAACCCGAACCTAAAGTTTAAAGCTCATATTGTTGCTATTGCTGAAGGGGCTGAACAGAGAGAGAGAAATTATAAAGAAAAAAAATAAAAAATGTATATATTAAATTATTAATATATATATATATATATATTTTTTACAAATCCTGAGCCCGGCCCGAAATACAATCGGGCTTAGTATTTTGGGCCTGAGATGAGATCCGCGGGCCTAATTACATGTCCAACTCGACCGGGGTGCGGGCCGGGCCGGCAATCGGACTACCCGGCCCATGAACAGGTCTACATACATCATAAGTCATAACCGACTGTGCTTCCCTCGGTTATCCCTGAATCTCTAGTGAAATTACAATATTAATCGCAGTTTTTATAGGTAAACCGTGAGATAACATTTCTAACATACAGCTGTCTGCAGACTGCAGTCGGTAACTTGTGCTACAATGGAAAAACACGTGGGGTAAAAGAAAATTTTTTGATGGATAATAGCAAATTGAGATTTGGGTCGTATCGTATCCAAAGAGTAAAATTGTGGCGCTCAGGACCTGGACGATCAAAATCGCTATTGGAAAATCTGACACCGAAATGTATAATCTGGACCGTTCATCTTATGGACTGTTAGCTTCCCACTACCCACCTGAAAATGTACGAGTTGAGATAAGGGCTGCACTGTATTTTGATAGAGACAACTAAGTCCAGGTACAGATATTGTGCGTCGTACGGTCCAGATTTAAGAACAACGAAGTTGCTGTTGGACGGTCCGATTAACGTTTGGACGGGGCTATGCTTATAGCTTAGGATAAGGACAGAATCGCAGAAATACATCACAGAAAATCGTGTCTAACAAGAGACCGACATCGACATTGCATGAGAGAGAGAGATAGAGTTTTAATTTCTACGGTAGATAAAAAAAATAATTAAAATAATTATAAATTAATTAAATATTTTCTAATAAAATTGTCCCAACGTTTTTTTTCCTCCCCCCTCTCTTTCTCTCTCTCTCATCCTTCTCACTGCAACTGCCACGTCAGCCTCCAGCCATGGCCACATAACCAGAGACCTCCGAAAGATGAAATAAAATCCTCTCTCTCTCTCTCTCTCTCTTTCTCGCGTTAAGAAAAAGTCAAACAAACCCGAAAAAAATAAAAAACAGGAGAATACCAGGAAAATATCGGAAGAAGAAGAAGAAGAAGAAGAAGAAGAAGAAGAAGAAGAAGAGAGGAGAAGTAAAAGCCAAAAAGATTGATTTTTGGTTGTTTATTAATTAATTTTTTTTAATCGTTTTGAAGGGAAAAAGATATTTGTTTGATCCTCCCTCGGCCTCTGGTCTTCAATGGATTCCGATCTATGGACATCACGCCTTGCGGCCGCGAAACGCCAATACACGTTGCAGCATCATCAGACCTCTCAATTAGGTATGTTGTTGTTTTTGTTTTTTTTTTTGATAGAAAACAAGAGGTTCTACACAAGCCGGGGGGTAGCACGCCCCCAAACTGTTTTTGGTTCGATCTATGGATGTTTGGTTTTCTGGTTCTCGATTTGTTTTCTGTAAAAAATGATCTTCCTTCCCCCCTCCCCCCTCCCCTTCCCCTGTGGGTATGGATATTAGATCGGTTGAGCTTCGACGACTTTGAGGTTGAAGAGGAGGTTCGCCCTGATTTCCCCTGCCCGTATTGCTATGAGGATTATGATATTGCTTCTCTATGTTCGCATCTCGAAGACGAGCATCCTTTTGAATCTAAAGTCACTGTGAGTTGAGTTGTATTTTATTTATTTTATAATTCTGTTCATTCAGAATTTGATTCTAATTGATGTTGTGGAATGAAAGAATCTTGGCATCTGTGATCACATGGTTATCTGATATGTCTATATTGGAATATTACCATTTTTCCCGAATTAACTTATCTGCTGTTCAAAGAAAACAGAGGCTAAAACTTTTTTTAAACTTATTTGTGTATGGGTTGCCGATGCTTCCCAAGCAAAAGAATCTCAATCATTCCTTCTCTTTTGGTAGATGAAACAAAGGATCCTTTATTGTGACAGGTCGGTTCATCTCGTCTGGTTTTGTTGTAGAGTTACCGTTTTATTATTTATCAGAAATGTTATGATTTCGCTGCACTTTCTTCTTACAAAGAACATACGAGTTACGAGAATGTTCTCCGGGGAACCTTGTGTTTTGGGAGTGAAGATTACGATTAGTGCTCATTTTTCTGCTAATCAAACCTGGGGGGCGGGCTGGATTTGATCCAGTTTAATAGCAACTACATCTACTGACTTTACATTAGCGCTAATTTTTCTTCCCGTTGTTGTATACTTATTGATAAATGAGAGTTTGTAAGGATACAAGATTAGTCAGCCTGTAGCTTTGATACCTCTCCCGATTGTCATTATATCACTTGCACTTTCTGGAGGTTAAGCTTAATGGCATGATGTTGGAGTATGCCTCTCATTATCAGGCTGGCTAACCGTTAGATTTGGAGCATCACTTGGACCTTTCTAAGCCAGTTACCCCGATTTTGATCGGAGGAATATGCCAGTGCAGAACAAGGAGTGGGGTGGTCTTTGGCATTTATTACGAGTCATTTGTTTTCAGTCTGTTGTTTAGGTCTCGTTGTTTTTGTATTTGAGATTGTTTTTCTTGTGTCCCAATTATATTGCATGTAATTGATTTTTAATACCGAGTGAATTTTAAGGTACCAAGCTAAGTTTCCAGCTCAGTCTTGGTCTTTGGCTTTGGATTGGGGGATGGGGGTTGATAATTCTCAAAGTTATCAAAGAGGTAGATAATCTGGTGTGACAAATTCTCCTCTTTTCTGTTTCATCTCCTTGTTAATTTCATTGCAGATTTCTAAACTTAGGTGTCGGAATAAATTGTGGTGTTCTTTTAAGTACAGTTCTTAGGAACACCTTATTACAATGCCCAACCCATGGGATCTTAACCACAGGCCTCTAGTGCACGTATTTAATATACATTTTCTCCTCTGATAATCCGGTGTTGGAATTCTTGCTGTTTTCATTTCAGATGGATGTAAAAGTTACAGAATTCTTGATAGATGTCTTGAAGTATTCCATCAGTTAGGCACTTATACAATATTATTCTTTTAGTTTTTATTTTATAGCACATTAAATGTATTACTTCCTTTATCTTCTTGGGTTCCTTAAGTGCTAAAAGACTATTACTTGCTAAGTTTTAGCAAAATTAAGAATGAACCAGCTTTCTTACCTTTTTTTTGTTGTGGGAGGGATTTTTTTTTGGTTCTTAACAGAGTTGTGATTCTGCAGTTCCTTTAAAGTTAACCATAAGGAGAGAATTAGCAATAGTGTTGTGAAGTAGACCAAGTACTAGAAGTTTAACTTAGTTTATTTCATACTTTGAGTTGTTATTTACTATTTCGATAATAGTCTCTTCTAAAACCTTTACAACCTAAAAACAAAAGAAGTAACCAATACACTTAAAGTGAATTATTCACTGAATCAATAATCATTTTCCATAACAACGGCCTATGAGATAAACTGCCTTGTTATTCTGATGCTTGAATATGTAGCTCTTGGTAAAACTTAGTTAAAGAAAGATAAGAAAAGAAGTATAGAATGTCTATCATTGGTTAGTCTGAGGGTGCTTCCTCATGTCATCAGGTGTACATTTGTAATTGTTGGGAATTATTTTTAGTGGGTGTAGGTTATGTTTGGCTTCCAAAGTGCTGCTGTTTCCAACTTGTGGGGATTGATGAAGACATGACTTGGCTAGCATGACAGTCACTGTAATATTCACATATTATGGTCTGATATTTTTTCAGTCCCAGCATCAAGAAGATAGAAATCTTGAAAAATGTTCCCCCCTACTTTCTCTACCTAGGGGCTATTTTTACTCTTTCTTATTGTATAAGGTTAAAAAGAGAATAGTTACAAGTTTGTTGGTCCATTGTGTGACACATATTTGTTCATCTAAATGCTTGTTCAGTCTCCAACTTGTTAGATAGATGAAAATAATGTGGTTATAGGCAGCGATTGGTTTGACTAATCATTTTATTACAAGTTGCTTGGTTCAAGCTTCTTACTTTTTTTTCCACACTTTTCTCTTTGCCCTTATGCTTTCAGGTTTGCCCCATTTGCTCTGTCAAGGTCGCACGGGACTTGCTAAATCATATTACTCTGCAACATGCTCAATTATATAAGATATCCTTTTCAAAGAGTTCCCTTTTTGGAAATGAAATTGCCTTATTTAATGTTTCCTTTTAAATGATTCTGGAAGAGTATGCTGGTACAGCTGTTTGGTTGTAGCCATTTAGTTGAATCTAAATCTTATAGTTGCTTGCCTTGACTAAAAGATTACTTGCAAAGGCGTCGCAGGTTACGCAGAGTTGCTATTCCCAACAGTCAGGCATTGTCTCTGCTGGGGCGAGATCTTCGTGAGGCCCATCTGCAGGTGCTGTTAGGAGGTGGTGGATACCGGTCCAACAATGCTAATACATCTAATGCAGTTACCGATCCATTCCTTTCATCATTTGTATTGAATTTCCCGGCATCTGAAGCAGAAGAAATATCAAAATCTGCGGTTTCCAGTGTCGAGGACACTCTTGTAAAGAATGTAACATCAACACAGACTTGGAAATCAAGGTACTTGTTCTTGAGGACACTCCTGTGCTTTTTATAGGTTCTTTAATTGACTTCGTTATTCCTTTTATGGTGATGCCTTAAAAGTTTTTGAAATTTAGGATTAGTTTGATACATGATATTTATGCACTAATAGTTTAATAATAACCCTTCCTTTACTTGATTCCAAAATATGTATTGTGGGTAGTATAATGGTGTACCACTTAAAAGAACTTTAGTGTAGTATGTAGATTTTGTGGATATTTAGCTAAAGAAGTAATTTGTTTATGCACCCGGATACCACTTTTCCTTCTTTTTTTTTGCATTTATCTATTTTGTTTGCAACGTACCTATTATGTCACTCTCTCTGTTCATGGGATTTGAAGACTTGGGTGCTTTACATTAGTTTTTAGTTATATTTTTTAATTACATAGTTTTTCAATCCAACTCAACTAGGACTAATCCCAACCATATGGGGTCAGCTATAAACCTTGTTCCACCATTTCATTCTGTTCTGCCATATCCATTGTTTGGGTTAAGGTGTAGTTCATCACTTTCGGGGAGAACATAGCACAGACATGGAGTGAAAATTCAGGATCCATGTTTATAAGAATTTGGCAAATGTTTTAATGCTGGTTGTGAACCTGGCACAACCTCCTTTATCCAGGCTTTGGGCTAGAAGTGTAAGATAGCTCACACTAGTGGAGGTTAATGGTGTAGCTTATATGTTATATGAATTATAAATAATGTGATAATTGTTAGCAAAGAAAAAACACTAAGGCTCAGTTTGGAAAGAGTACAAATACAAACATGTACAGTGCAAATATATACAAAATAATACAAAATACAAGGTTGTGCACTCTACATATTTGTATTTGTATTCCTTCCAAATGGAGCCTAAGCAAATAACTCAGTGCAAACAACATTAAGCAAATAAAGATTGATTGTATTAATATGTCAAGTATTACAAATTTACCATACATGTCCAGATTCTACAATGTGGCAAAGAGAAGAGTTCCCTTCAAGTGCCATGTCGGTGGCAGTGTCTATGTGTCTGAAATGAGTATTAAACCAATTTTCAAGTGTTCATGTAACCCATGTAACATTGGTTGCAAATTGTTGGAGATAGTTGAGTTTCTTGGGAAGTTTTGCATGGCATCACAGACATGTTCCTTCAAGGTGCCAAGGCGAAGCTATGCATAGGGGGTGCCTTGTTGCCTAGTCACCTAGGCGATGAGTTATTAAAATAATAAAAAAAATCCTAGGGTAGTTCCCTAGGTTTAACAGCAATAAGCAACAACATTTAACGAATAATTATGATAGTCCTAGTGAAATATGTATAAATCCCATATCAAAAGATAGAAAATCAATATATTTATGAGAAGAAAAGTAAGAAAGGAAAGAAAACATACAAAACATAACAGCTGAGCCCTTGTTTTGGTCCTAAGAAGATGATGATGAATTGATTATTATTGTGTGTCGATTGGATAAAATCTTCAAGTTACTTTTTACTTACCAATTCAGATTTTATGTTGTTTTTTTGATAAGTTAAGATTTCAATAAAATCTGAATTGGTAAGTAAAAAGTAACTTGAAGATGCCGTCTGATAACAGATGCTGAACTGAGAAGCTTATTGCTTTGTCTTTTAGTGAACAAGCTAGCTTTAAGGAGGTTGTGGGTTCCTTAATGGATGAAACTGAAATTGGATTGTTCACTATACCCTTGGAAATTTTATTATTTGTTAACTAAAAGACAAATCAATAAATGTTTCAGTTCAGCAACTTCAGTTGCTATCAAACAGCCCCTATGTCACTGATTTTACCTTTTCTTCATCTCTCTCTCTCTCTCTATATATATATCTATCTATCTATATATATATGGGTTCGACTATGATATGGAACAGATATGATATCTGAAAAACTTCTAACCAGTCAATTGGTATCATAAACGTGGTAGTCAATCAGGTGTTTTATCAAAATTCATGGGTGGATTTTGATTGGCCAAAAGTCTTCCCATACCATATCTTTTCCGCATCATAGATTTTCCCATTTATATATATATATATATCTTTTCCGCATCAAAATTCATGTGCGTGTGTGTTGTCTTGCATATAAATATTTAGGCGTTTGGACGAGGCAACCCTCCAAGAGTGCCTTATTGCCTAGGCATCACCTTGACAACCATGGGAGCAACAAGGGTACAAGGTGATGAAAGGTGGTTGAACATACACAACTCACATCATCTGCGTGCTGCCTTTCACTGTATAAAGGCTAATGCAGAAATTCAAGAATTAAAAATATCAGGATCTGTTCAAAACAGGGATGCTGCCCCCTTTCAATAATCTGTGCATATATCCCATATAAAAGACATGATACACCCTTATTTATGAATATAAAAGATAATGTACAAATCATCATGAGGTTTTAGTATTTAAAACAAGTGTTTCTTCACAACTATTTTGGGGTATGTGATTTATCAAAGAAAAGGATTTTCCCAATTACCATCCTGAAACACCCATCAAAATTAGAAATTAGCTTCTGATCTCTATAGGAAGTCTGGGATATGTCTTAACTGAATAAACACAAATAAGTTTATCTAATAGTTGTTTGATAGCAGCATATAATTTTAAGTTGAAATGGGGGAACACAATGTAAAACTAATTTACCAAGAGGTGGTGCTGATAGGACCAGTTATAGGTTTAAAGAGTTGGGATTAAGATTATGGGGCTTTACCTAGTTTGAGTTGATGTAAATCTGCACAAAGAAGTGTAGTAGTCATATTCTTTCTTTATATTATTTTAGAGTTTGAATTTGTTATAGTTGCAATTTAAGATGATAGTGCAGACAGCTTCGGTGAAACATGTTGTCAAGTGGTACCATTTTTTGGGGGGTGAGGTGGATTGCAGCAAGGATGAATTGAAAAGGAGGGATGTATTTCAGTGTGTTGGTATTTATAACCATGATTGAAAATTCAGGTAGGTCCTTAATTGATTATAATAGTTCATGACTTTCTAACATATTAGTTTCGCCCAAGGAAGATGGATTCTCACCTGCAATACATAAACTATTAGAAAATTTATTAGAGAATCTTAGCTTTTGTATGGACGATTGGTATATATGCTTGAAACTGAAAGATAAAAATCTTTGAAGTACACCAATGGTTGTTGAAATTGAAGATTCCTGAAGATTAGGTTCTGGCATTTTACTTTATTTTATATTTGCTTTCAGTTTTGATTCTTCATTAAGTCACGAAGAGCGAGAACAGAAAATCAGACAGGCTACTGTGAGAGCTGGTTTCGTTCAGGATCTGCTTCTTTCGACTCTGTTAGGAGACTAATGGAAGTAGGAGGGCCCCAGAAACAAGAGGTAAACAAGCAACTTCGTGATCCTCATCGGAGGCAGTTTTGGGGTCCTAATGGTGGTTAGGCACAGTATACCATGGGACACCAAACTACAAGCCTTCGCTGGATGCTTCTCTCAATTCGACAGCCATCAATGATGGGAACATCCCATCCAATTTGCTGTCTGTTGACCACAAATATGCTACAAGCCTACAACTGAAGAAGGGATGATATTCTTGGATTTACCATCTTAATGCTTCCTCCCATAGTTTCACCTATTCTATGTTCAGACGATTCATGCTTAATTTATTAGTAGTAAGAAACAGAGTTGGATTAAACTTCTGTGGCGGATCCTATAATTTCTATAGACTACTCATTCTGGGGGGAAATAGCCAGTGGAATACTTGATCAATGTCTACTTTCACCATCATTGCCTGGAAAATGTACGATCTTTGTGATTTTAAGAAACAAGCTTAAAGCCTTGAACATTAAACATGAAATGCCAAAACTAAGAGATTTAGAAAAAAATAATGGTGATGGTTCCCTGCTAAACTATTGCTTCGTTTGGTGCCCCCAAAACCAAGAAGAGCTTCTTTGTGCTATGTGGGTCTACTAACAAGGCAAGAACTGAGCAGCAAATTTGGTGCCCACAAGTTGCAGCACATTGATTCTCACCTAATCGATTAGCCAGATTTCAATTCATGACGGTTTCATTCCACTTTCAGACATTAAAACCTAGGCGTCTGTTTGGTGTCGATGCCATTGCTCCAGAAAACGGTGACACATCAGTGTCATATTGGAAAACATGGTGCTTCAGAAAATGTCAATATATTTGGAACCGTTTTTTCATAAAAAATGGTGTTTCAAGTTACATCTTGGAAATCGAGAAGGCGTAGTTTGGAACAATGCCAAATTTGGCATTTTCTCAGATTGGAAACGCCCTACTTGGCAGCAACGTTTCTAAAAAAAAAAAAAAAAAAGACATCGTTTCTCCAAAAATGGTGCTTCTATCCTACACATATACAGCAACGTTTTTCTACATCGATGCCAAACATATACTAGATTGCTCAGAGTCTGGTTATATTACGTTTTTTCAATGCGTATGGCCTTGGAATCTAGACTGCGCTGAAAGCAATTTTCTACAGTTGCTTCCCCCACGGTATGCCATTAAAATGCCCCCTTTTATTGTCATTTTTGACTCCTACCTACCATGTGCATTTGTGTGGTCGGGGGAAACGAAAACATGTAGCTGAGATTCTGAGATTTTCAAAACAGGTCCAATCCTGCAACCGGTCCAGGCAGGGTTGAATGGTCAAGAAACTAAAGAGTGGATGAAGAAATTTTGGAAGTCAGAATTGGAGGGCCCAAATTAATTTAAGAAGTTAATTCAAAAACCAAAACCGTTTTTGACTGTTTTATAGGGCGAAGATGAATTTGATAAAAGCCCATATGCGCCATCCTTTTGAAGTGGCCATTCAGCAAAAAAATTGAAACGTTCTTGAACAGTGTTTTTTGTTTTCTGGGAGGAACGATCCTATTGATTTTGTTTTACGAAGTAGGTCTGGCATCGGTGTTGGGAACATTGCACCGTTTTCTTGTAAAAACAGTGCTGGGCATGTGGAGTTGTAAATACCATCGTTTATTTTTTGTTTGGAACCGATGCTGCCACATAGGCATTTTCTGAGAAAATAGCACTGGTTTTGTTTGCTACCAGTACTGGCAACAACATTTTCAACATTGAATCTACATTATCCAACGTCCAAGATAATGCCACATCATTGCACCGTTGTCAGCAACGCACTGTTTTCTCAGAAAACATTGAATTTGACGTTGCTTCATACCACACTTCCCCAATTTCCAAGGAATGGTCTAGAACAATATTTTTTTCTAGAAAAACGATACCAAACAAGAGAGCGTTGTTTGAAGCACCGCTCTCTGATGTGGTATATGACACCACTTTCTCAGAAAACGACATTGATGCCAAACACCCACAAAACTATTATCAAAATCTTAATTCATGATGACAAATCGTTAATTGAAAGCAGTTTTCTCACATCAATAATTTAAGAATACGTTTTTCTGTATATATATTTTTTTTATTTTAAGAACCGACTTTTGATTTGATTTTTAAACTCACAACAATTCACATTGAAAAGCACATAATGTTGTTCTAGATTACTGGTTATTTTAGTTCTGCAGTAAAAGCACAAACAGTTAAAATGAAAACAGATTGGTTTTTAAATTAAAACAAAAAAACGTGTTCTAGATTACTGGTTTGAGAAAAATGTTTTCATCTGATGATCTGTTGTCATGTTTAATTTTAGAAGGTAGTTTATCTCGATTGTTTGGCCCTCAGCCCTCAGCTGCAGTTTGCCTGTTATGATAGATTAAAATAAAATAGACGCTTGTTTTTTTTTCCATGCTAATTGAATTAGTAGAGGTAGAGGAACTGACCACCAGCATACCGACCACCATCCTTGAAACATAATGTTTCTACTCAAATAGAAAAGAGCATTCTATTTGTTTTATGTAACAATCAATATACTGACCACCAGCATAACATTGCAAAATTTTATACATAGATGCTAGCCTCATATCTTAGTAAAAGAAACGGGCTGAAGCTAACTGCTTTTGTTTGATCTCTCTTGGGCTACAACAACTAAGGCTTGCTGCTTCTGCTGCTGCTCTTCTATTTCAGTTACTATAACCGAGTCCTGTTGCTGCTGATGCTTTTCCCCTTCCAATTCTTTCACTTCTACTTGTGAGTGTTGTCGGTGGAATCGGAGTATTACCAACAAAATAAACACTAAAAAAACATATTAAATTAAAAAGGAGACCCCTACCAGATACATCTGGCAAACATGTTTGTATATGCAAATTGTGCATGGAGGAATGATGTATATAGTAGCTATTTATGTTTACATACTAAGGGTATATGGTATATACCAAGATCAGCCAATGTGCTAAAGCTCATAGTCCAAGAAAACAAGAATCCGATTGAGAGGGGTCACTTCATGCAAGAAAATGCTAAAAATCTCTAATTTTCACATTTCTGTAGCTGATAAATAAAGGTCTTCCAAAATAGCAAATTAAAGGAGAAAAGTGTCTGGTTTGGTCACTTATTTGCATCTTGTAGTGGACATTAGCAACTTTGGGTCAAGGTCTGGAAACCATTTGGAGTTTATTTGCTGATCATATCCAAATTTATTTGGATAAATTTGAATTCTGATATATGCCCAACTATGGACGTTAAGGAGTTGTTTCAATTAACATATAGTGATATGACAAACGGAACATGATAATACCTGCAAACATGCGTGTCTTTAAAGAGGACAAATTCCAAAGGACAGTAGCTGCAGATGCTGCCACAATCTTCTTGCGGGAGCAAGCTACCCATTTTTCCCTCATCCAACTTCTCCAGTTTTCAACTGCTTAGTCAAAATCATCTTCTCCATATTAGGATTGAACAATACCAGAGACAGAAAACAATCAAATTATTTATATTACATGCAGAACCCTATAGATATACACATGGGCAGGTCCCATTCCCATATACCTTGTTTTTTTATCTTCTCAGAGTGGCAAGAGTATAGTTTGGGGGCAGTGAAGCTGACAAAAAAACCTGCTCAAATTTACAAATTCCATTATGGAGTTGCACATAATGGAAACAACAATATAATTGAGAATTCCAAATGAACTGGAAAAAGAAATTGGGTGGTAGATCTGAGGCACTGAATTTTACCAGTTGCACATAGTCTCCACAGGGTTATCAAGTGACCATATTCAGCTCCAAAAAGGAGGATGGGTGCTGCCTGCAACCAGATAAAATGATAACGTTAAATGCCAACCTGGGCAACCTTAAGATGGGGATGAAGTAGGAAGGTTAGTTGTTATTTACTTTGAGAGTCATGGACGGCTCCCCTGAGAAAAGCTCTTTTGTCTTTGCAATTACAAGGTTTGCAGCAGGAAGCATTACTCGAGCTACCCTCAAAATGTCATCTTCTTTCAGCTTAAACTCTTGCTTCTTGTGATCCTCGTGGCTGTAACTTGATCACATCTAAGAGGTCAGGAAACAGAGGAGGACGATTGGAAAGAGATAAAAGATAAAGAGAAAATGGAGCTCTACCTTTGGGAGATTGAGTTAAAGAAAAATGATGCACCCAAAAACAGAAGTCCCAGTTGAGAAACTGCAGAGATAATGCTGCAAAAGTTGACAATTGATTTATTGATTATCTTCATGCACTGCAAATTAGTAGAATAGTAGATGGAGTGGAGCTTTACAATACCTAAAGTTTAATCCTCTTGTAAAGCAAGAAGACAAGAAACAGAGAGACCCAAAGCCAAACCAGAGGCTCGACTTAGCTACATCCTTCCACATAACCTGGTCGGATATCAGCTGCCAGATATGATCTAGGTTACACGGATCATCATCGCCGGTTTCTGGGTCCCAAAATGAGCATTAGAACGGGCACGAATGAAACGGAAAGAAACCTCAAAGGGAAGATTCAAGGAGGGGGATAATTGAACATACTTGGAGAACGGACTGAAGGGACTATACTCGGATTTTCTTTACAGGATCGAGTGCTCTTTCTTCTTCTTGCTTTTCCAATCTCAACTCCCAAACCCACATCCTTTTCTTCTCGAATCTCTTGCTCCAATCGCCTCCGTGTCCGCCGGCCGTTTCTTGGGGACGCACAGCCCAATACAGCCATTGAAGAAGCTCTGCTCTTGCATCGCCTGCGAGAACCCAACTGATCAATTGGCTCTTCTGCCATTTCTGTCCTTTCGTTTAGCCGTGATTTGGATCTTCTTAGGGGGGAATGGGAAGAAGGAGAAAGGAGCAGAAGCTCTTGAAGAGGAACCCCCTGCCGAGAGAGAAGAGAGGGCGATAGAGTTACATTAGGCGAAGAAGGGATGACTTCAACAGAGAAGTGTGGGATGTCCTCGGCATCAGCACCGAAATCCTCCGTTCGAGCAAATCGAGAAGCCGATTTGATACGCAGGCGGGGTTCCGAACGACGAGACGGAGGGGTGGAATCCATGACTGAGCTCATCATCTGAGTCTCTCTCAGACTGACTGGTTGCAGGAATTATCTTGTCTGAAGATTGTGAGAAGACGAGGAAAAGATGGAGGGGCTTTTGAGGGTTTTCTGCCTTTTATTATTGCTCTCTTGCGAGGGTGGAGAGCTATCGCCATAGCCGTTGGAAAAGCGAGGAGTCTTCTTTCTCTTTCGTTTCTTTTTCTTTCAATTCAAAGTTTGAAAATTTTGGGCTGCATGGGCTTTGTAGGGCCCAAAACGGTAGGAAACCATATGGATATCAATTCCCTCCGACCAGTTTGTTACTTTAATGGGTCCACCTTCGGGTTCTAATACTTCCTTTTTGACGGTTCAGATGTTTTTATCATGGGACTATAAAAGGACAGAGCTTAGCTTCTTCCCTGTCTCTAGGTCCGGTTCAAGAGTTCATCAACAAGATCATTGAAGGCCCTGAGCTTATGTCAATAAATCTTTTCTTGAAAACCCAGCTTATGTCAATAAATCAGAAAGTATATTTACGAGATTGGAGTGATTGCAAATAAGGTTGTTTTTGGTACCATTGTTGTTATTAGGTACGATTTATTATGCCTAGCATGTTCCATTGTTGAAATTCAAACCAGGTGGTCATCTTTAGAAATTCAATACAATTGTTGAAACAGGATTTTTTATTTTATGTTAATATTACTTTGTCCAAATGGGCTAATTAAAGGGGGTCAATGTGAATTATTTTTTTTATTTAAAATTCTAAAAATAAATAAGGCTCTATTTGCTTTTTGGTAAATTATTTACCTAGGTAAATGTACTTAATTGGGTAAGTGTTTCCCAAGAAAGACTTATTCGGGTAAGTACATTTACACATGTTCTTTAATTTCCCATGTAAATAAGGCAATGACCATTTTAGCCATAAAAATCCATTATTAAAAGGGGCATTTTGGTTCCATTCAAATGTTGGCAATTTTCCCCCTAGATGGGAAAGTTATTTACCCACCTAGGAGATGTGTACCACTTAACCAAGTAAGTGATACCCAGGAAAATAAACTTTCCCTGGTCCCCACATAAATCTGAAAAAAGAACACGGGATTCTTGGTAAATGGAAATCAAAATTCCATTGACTTTCCCCCTCTCAAAATCCAGAAAAAGAATGCCCCCTAAAAAATAAGTTGGTTTCGAAGCTAAAACTAAAAACATGTTTTCGATTTTCTAATTTAAAGAACAAGTTTTCATGTGGTTATTTAATATCATGTTTCATAAATCATATAATAAAAGTTGTTTTTGTTCCAAACCCCATCATTTTGATGGCTTCAAAATATAAATTGCTTTTTGAAACAAAAGCAAAAACATTGGTTTAGAACATCTGTTTGTGTTTGTCTTTTTTCTTGTAATTTCAAAAACAAATAAAAACAAACACAGTCAATTTGTCTTGAGAAGAAAAACGGTCCAAAAGAATGAGAGGACTGATTTAAAAAGTTGTGAAAAAGATTAGATATCAACAAGCAAAGAGAGAAGAAGAAGTTGGCGGCAATAGGATTTTGAGAGATTAGTTGTTCGAACATTTCTCCCTTCCCTAGTCCTTTCATTAAAAAGTAATTTACAAAGTTTTTGTATTTACAAAGAGGCCCTTAATTGGGCGATTAACTTAATTAAACATAAACACAAAGAAACATAAAAGGCTCATTAGTTAAAGGCCCATTGACAAAAGAAATAGAAACATAAATAAATAAGAACAGCCTATGGGCCATTCGGCCCATTCTTTCTACACTCCCCCTCAAACTGTGCATTGCATAAATGTCAATCATGCCCAGATTGCCAGTGCCATGTTATAGTTTGGCCTTGGAGATTCCCTTGGTAAGAATGTCAGGTAACTGTTCTTCAAATGTAATAAATGGTAGACAAACTTCTCCAGAAGCCACTCTTTCTCTGATAAAATGCCTGCCAACTTTAATATGTTTAGTTCTACCATGTTGTATCGGATTATGGGCAATGTTGATGGCAGCCTGATTATCACAATATAGCATTAATGGCTTATCATACTCAACACCTAGTTCCTCCATCAGGGATCGAAGCCAAAGTAACTCAAAGACTCCATGAGCCATAGCCCTGTACTTGGCTTCAGCTGAAGATCTGGCAACAATAAATTATTTCTTGCTTCTCCAATAAACAATATTACTTGCCACCATACTATAGTATCCCGAAGTTGACCTCCTATCATCAATGTTTCTTGCCCAGTCAGCATCTGTGTAATCCTTCAGTTTCATATGACCATGCTTAGCAAACAGAATGCCCTTCCCAGGAGTACTCTTCAAATAACATAAAATCCGTTATGTTGTTGCCATATGAGTGTCCTTGGGAGCATGCATGAACTGGCTAATGCAACTAACAACATATGCAATATCAGGCCGAGTCATACAAAGATATAACAGTTTCCCTAGTAACCTTTGAAACACTCTCTTATCCTTCATCAATTCTCCATTAGAGGTAGAAAGTTTATGACTCATATCAATAGGAGTAGCCACTGGTCTTGCACCCATTTTGCTTGTTTCAGTGAGCAAGTCCAGCACGTACCTTCACTGAGAAATAAATATTTCATCCTTAGACCAAGCCACTTCAATGCCAAGGAAATACTTCAACTCCCCAAGATCTTTGATCTCAAACTCTATATGAAGGATTTAAGGTCATCAATCCTTGTTACATCAGTGTCAGTCACTACAATATAATCAACATAGACTATGAGATATACCACCAATGAATCTCTCATCTTTACAAAGAGGGTATGATCAGATTGAGTTTGTACTTAACCAAACTTAATAAGGGCAGCCCTAAACCTTTCAAACCACACCCTAGGTGACTATTTGAGTCCACATAGAGACTACTTCAACTTGCACACTTTTCCCTTCATGTTTGTGCCATACATCCCTAGTGGGAGAGACATATAAACTTCCTCATGTAATTCTCCATTCAATAATGCATTTTTCATATCTAACTAATAAAGATGCCAGTCTGAATGGGCTGCCAAAGATAGTAGAACCTGCATAGATGTCATCTTTGTAATAGGAGTAAAAGTCTCCAGATAGTCAATCCCATAAGTTTGTGTATAGCCTTTTGCAACGAACCGAGCTTTGTACCTCTCAATGGAGCCATTAGCATGATATTTAATGGTATACACCCACTTATATCCCACTGGCTTCTTTCCTTCAGGCAAATCAACCACTTACCATGTGTCATTCTTGTGCAGAGCATCTATTTCAATTCTCATAGCATCCCTCCATTCTGGAATAGTAAGAGCTTCTGATACAGACCTAAGTATAGGGTTAGAAGCAATAGAAGAAAGAAAGGCATAATATGAAGGACAAATAAGGCCATAGGAAAGATGTTTGGAAATGCAATGTGCAGTACACTTCCGTTTACCTTTCCTAATAGCAATAGGGACATCAAGATCTAAAAAGGGAGGCTGCAAAGGGATGGTATTAGTATATGTTGTCTCTTCAGTAACTGGAAGTGCAGGAGACTCGTGTGATGTAGTGGAAACAATCTGCTCACTCCTAGTCCTTTGCCGCTGGTACCATCTGGGATTAAAAAGCGAGCAATGAGGTAATAGAGGAGGAATAGGAATATTAGAAAGAGTAGGAGTTGATTGTTCCCCCTTTGACTCATCAAGAATAAAAGGAGACTTAAGAGGAGACTCAACAAGGACAAAAAGGGGAGTGCAAACAATTGTGACAAATGCTCCCCTTGTGAACAATGCCTTTCTTGAGATGAATCATAGAAAGGAGTGAACTCATCAAAGGTAATATCCATTGAAACATAATTAGTTCCAGTGTTAGGATCAAAACAATAATAACCCTTCTGTGTTGAGGCATAACTAAGGAAGATGCACTTATGGGCCTTTGGTTCAAATTTATGTCTCTGGATACTAAAAATGTGACATAACAAGTGTAGCCAAAGACATGAAGGGGAATAGAGAAAAAGTCCTTATCTGGATGAAGGAGGTTAAAAGAGGACTTAAAGCCCAACACTTTGGATGGCATACGGTTGATTAGGTAGATAGCAGTGAGAACAACATCCCCCCAAAATCTTTTAGGGACATGTGAGGCAAACAAAATGTTTCTTGCAACTTCAACTATGTGGCGGTTATTTCTCTCAGCTACATTTTGTTTTGGAGTATGAATACAAGAACTTTGGTGAACGACTCCAAAATCAGTTAGATAAGAGGTTAGGTTTTTCTCAAAGTATTCTTTTGCATTATCGGATCTGAATATTTTGATTCTTGTATCAAACTAGGTAAGAACAAATTAATGAAACAACCTCACAAGCTTGGGAACTTCATCTCGAGATCTCATAAAAAATAACCAAGTATATCGAGAGGAATCGTCAATGAACAAGATAAAGTATCTATATCCTCCCATAGAGAGTAAGTGGTATAGCCGCCACACATCAGAATGCACAATATGAAAAGAAAATGATGATCTTTTATTACTTAAAGGATAACTGTTTCTATAATGTTTTCATTACTTACGGGACTCACAGTGAAGGCTAGACAAGTTAATCCCATTAAACAATTATGGGAATAAATGACTCAAAGCAAAAAAAGATATATGACCCAAATGAAAATGACATAACATGACACGACTAAAAGATTTTGAAGAAGTAGATCCAAAAGTAGCTTTTTCATGTTGTCCTAGGCTTTGTCCAAGAGTATCCAACAGGTATATTCCATTCACCTCATGGCCACTCCCAATCACTTTCTGAGACTTCAAGTCCTGAAAAATACAATAAGAAGGGAAGAAGGTTGCACTGTAGTTTAAAGGTTTAGTTAGGCTACTCATAGATAATAAATTAGTATTCAGCCTAGGGACATGAAGGACAGAAGAAAGAGAAAGAGAAAGAGAATTTGTAGCCTTGATGGTTCCCTTACCAAAGATAGGGAAAGCGAGCCATCAATTAGGGTAATCTTATCACGGCCAGGAAACAAATCATAAGAAATAAACAGAGTTGAAAGGCTGGTCATATGATCAAAAGCACCAGAATCAATAATCCAAGGGATCCTATGATTACCTGAGATAGTTGCATGATTGGCAGTAGCATGTATACCTGAATGTCCAAATGCATAAGTAGTTGGATTGCCCGAAGAGTTGGAGGAGGAGGTTGCACTCTCAAGGTGACTGATCGTTAGCAGT